TCAAATCACTTACCTTGCTTACTTAACATTCTAAATTATCTGAGAGCTTAAAAAAATTGTGAACGATTTGATGACAAATCGTAAATTTTTCTACCTTGTCTGCTCGAGCTGAAAAAATCAAAATCATGGGGCTGAGGAAGCAGAAATTACGCTCCTGCAGGTTAATTTAAAAATAAGAAGACGAATGAGGAGAGAAATGTATGTGTAATTTTAGTATTAAAGAGTTAAAATTAAAATGCCTTAATTGAGTCTACGCGGCTTTAGAAGAATGCCAGTCATCGTAAAGGAGGTTTGAACGGCTAGAAAGGGAGGTTTGAACGGTTTCGTAAGTCTAGAGGTTAAGCCTATGATTTGCGCAAAGCTGAAAACAGTTAAAGAGGTTGGATAAAAGCAGTGTGAGAAATCACATAGAGTCATTCAAATGTACTTCTGGATTTTACTTATTTAAATTAACCGATCTTTAGCGATATACGATAAGTGTAAGGGAAAGACGCCCTCTTGATAACTTCTACGCGTCGTTTTCGAAGGATTCGTCTGTGATTTCTGTCCTGGTTTCGTAAGCAGCACTCCTTAGTTGATTCTTTTTGAGAGTTTTGGTCGATTTAAGCAGAGAAGTCTTTTCTCCTTGAAACTGTTCAAATTGAAGAAAGATTTCCTTTATTGCTTAACTTGGTTTCCAGACCGAAACTGCCGTGCACAGAAAAGATAGAGCCGTTCTTTTTTGACGCGAACATCTATCTTTTGAATCTTAAGCACGGATTGTCGCTTAATCTCAGTGCAACTATAAGAGCGTCTTGCCGTTGGCAGAAACATAAACTGGACAGGTTTGGTATTACACAAATTTTTTATTAGGTGGTGAAGCGTAGCTGGCTAAGTAAGTTTTTCTTCTTAGAAAAGCTTTTTTGCCTTTTAAATGATTTTTTATTTTTACAGTTTAAAAATTAAAAGATTTACTGTCGTAAAATATTGAGTATTTTTTTATTTGTATGTTCTATTAGAGACAGTCTTCGTTGTTTATCGTTATCTGTTATATGCTTCTTTAGTTTGCACTGAGTTTGTTATTTTTAACAGTACACGTTACTTTAGAGTATGTCTGCGATCTACCGATTACGGTGCGGTTTTGAATAGTGGCTTATCAATTACAACTTTTATATTTTTGGATTCTCTTCCACCGGCTCTAAATGTCTTTAGGGCAAAGGTAAATATCGTGTTTCTTGATGCTGACATAGAAGAATAAATATTTTCTGTTCTATTCTTTTTGTAGGTATTTCGTTTAAAGCGGGGTAGAGGCCAGGGTTACGAAAGAAGTCTGGAAAATATGGAAAGTTCGGTGGTGATGTGTGGCGTTCGAAAGATGAAGTCTTTTATCTATCCTGTTTCTGAAGAAGAAGATTATTCTCTTGAGCTTCTTCAGTCAGAAAGTTAGTTTTTTTATTCGGATCTGCCTTTGCTACCGGCGTAACTTTGTCAAATACTTGTGAATTTAGAACTTGTCTTCATTTTTGGACTGTTTCAATTTAAGGGATTGACAGTTATACAAAGAAAGGTGTTTACTTCGTAATGTCTACTACAGAAATAGCGTCTTTTATTAAATCTGGTACAAATAAATTACTTCGTTATTTTTCATTCAATGTTGATACTATAACTTGCGTTGATTATGAGGTTAGTTTTACATGTTTCTTTGTTTTTGTAGACCGCAGTGGTTTTACTTTGTGCCTCATTACAGCTTTTTTATTGTTTAGTTGGATATTATTGAATGCACTAGCGACTACTGGATTTATTCAATGATTACTACTTTGATTGAAGTAAAAACGGATGGGCGGCCGTTGTTATATGTTGGTGTATTTTCCATGAATATAAATGCTCTCACAAGTATGAGAAAAAAGCTTTAATTTTTGCTGTTTTGAGGTGTCCTTAAGAGGAACTTTAGACTCACATGATTTTTTGAGCTTTTAAGGTAGATGATCAGACTCTTTTGTTACTTTTTTTTATCTGATTTCTGTAAGCGGGAACTCCTTTCCTTGTATACGAAGTATTACGCTTTTGACATCCATCCCAAGTCCAAATTCAAATGACCTTTTTTTTTCCTAGAAGCTAGTGATGTGTCTGTATGGAGGAAACTGCGTGCAGTAGATGTTTCTGAAGCAAAGGGAACAATTTTCCCATGTAGGAGGGACAGATGGTATCCCTTTAATGACAAACGCGTTAAGAGTGTTGAAGAAAGACTTGTTTCCGACGAATGCCTTACTAAAGGTCGGGTTTGATTTAGCTTTTTATATTTTTCGTAGAACCTGTTGCAACTTTGACCTGACTAACTCACACTTTTTCCTCGTTAATCTTCTTTTAGAAATTTTAGGAGAAAGCGCTTCGTTGTTATCATCACCGTTCCCAGGAATAGAATTGGAAAAAAGTGTGATATATTGAGCTGTTTTATACCGCACTCTCTATTTGGATCTCATATTAAATTGCATGATTTGAAACATTGTTGCGTTCAACATTTTTGAAAACACTACTCTTAAATTTGTTTGTCATTATGTTATAAAAACTACATTTAGTTATCTTTTTTTTTCTCCTTTGACTTGTTAAATATGAGTTGTATTGAGTCAGACTCAGTTTAATTGTTAACACTTATTTCTGGTTCCTTTTTCTTTGTCATTTGTGAATTATGAGTTTTTTGGACGTATTTTTGATGAAAACTCAATATACTGCCTGATTCTTTACGAGAAAAGTAAGAGATCTAGTCGCCTTCGCTGGTTCGGTATAATTACCGAGGGACGCTGTCCGCAGACGTTCTTCTTCCAGGGGCTGCTTTTGAAAATAATGTAAAAGGCAACATCTACGAATTGATGAATTAGGTCTCCAGCAGTCGTGACAGTAAGGGCGAAAGCCTTGTTCTACTTAAACCGCGTAGTGGAAAGGAGTCTCAGGATGCAGCAAGTTTCTAACTCCGTCTGAATGGAGTTGTTTGGTGCTTGCCTTCTGATTGTAATGCTGCTGTCTGTCTTCACTCGCAAATGGTGTTCTTTTTTGCGTACCAGATTCCTAGCACTCCCTACACACCTGCGTAAAGCTTAGAAATGTCTGAAATCTATTTGGTTTTCACTTGTAACTGTATTTTTTATAGCTTTTGGTGCATTTTTGCACCAAAGGAATAT